TCAGTTAGCTAGGTATAGCAAGTGTAACCTCTGTTGTTCTTAAAATTACAGTGAGTTATGCTTTCACTTTCTTTTATTTCTGTTATTCTTTTTTACTTCATGATTTTTGAAATGCCCTATGAGCTCATGTAAAAATGAAAGGCAGGTCTATACGTATTTTTACATTTCAATAATGATGATTAAGATCTCAATCTCCACAGGCATTAAGATCTTAATAATGATAAAGATTTTAGGCTGTATTGTAATTAAAAACAGTTGGACTGCTGGCTACAATAAATTAATTACAAACATTTAAAGATCACAGATGTTTGCTTGAATGCACTGTCCTTCTCTTTCCAGTAGATGGCAGATACAGTTCTTGCAATATTAAAAAAAAGAGGAAGAAAATATTTGATTTGTTAAGAACGTATTATATACTTTTACAGTGAGGAGCTGCAAATTTTGTTGCCATTATATAACATATAACAATGTATAAAATACATTAAAGGAAAAAAATAAATTTATTGCTAGAAAAACATAAAATTAAAACACTAAAAATGGAAAATAAATATGCATGTTGAGAAGCAGCTTCATGATTAAAATCCAAACAAAAATTACACTCTATATTATTGTATATTTATTCAATACACAGTCTCACCATGTTTGACAGGACATAAGTAAATGTAAATTTGGGAGTCTATATCCAAATTACACTTGGTGGGATTTAGTGGGCGTATCTTTTAATTGTCTAAGGTAGTAGAGTATACCTGTGGTATCTCAAGATTAAAATACTGGTAAAACTAAACCTTTCTGCTAATATGACAGCAGCAGTGTAATAGAAAATTGGATTTTATTCTATAAACATACTCAACAGGGGAACAAGGCGATTACAGATCTAAACTGGTGCCTACTGCTTGGTAAGTTAGAAAAAGATGGAATAGACAACATCACCACGAGATGGATGGCTGACAAACCATACTCAACAAGTAATCCTCACTGGTACTACATCTGCATGGAGAGAAGTAAGCAGTGGGGTACCACAAGGCTCCGTCTTAGGCCCAGTACTCTTCAATATCTTCATCAATGACTTAGATGAGGGAATAAAAGGGGAACTGATCAAATTTGCAGATGACACCAAACTGGCAGGAGTAGCCAACAACCCAGAAGACAAACTCAGGATCCAAAAAGATCTTGACAAACTTGAACAATGGGCCCTATCCAACAAAATGAGTTTCAATGTGGAGAAAAGCAAAGACTTACATTTAGGTTGGGAAAATCAAAGGTACAAGAACAGATTAGGCGAGACCTGCCACAAAGAAAAGTAGGGATCTTGGAGCTCTAGTGGATGATCAGTTGAATATGAGCCAGCAGTGTGCAGCAGCAGCCAAAAAAGCTAATACAATCCTGGGTTGTATAAACAGAGGCATAGAATCAAGATCATGCAAAGTATTAGTACCGCTTTATAAAACCCTAGTGAGACCACACCTGGAATACTGCAACCTATTTTGGTCACCATACCACAAAAAAATGTTGAAACTTTGGAAAAAGTTCAGAGAAGAGCAACTAAAATGATCAAAGGCCCGGAGACTAAAATGTATGAAGAATGACTGCAGGACTTGGGTTTGGCTAATCTAAAGAAAAAAAGAAATAGGGGTGACATGATAGCAGCATTTCAGTATTTGAGGGGCTGCCACAAAGAAGAAAGAGTCAAATGATTCTCCAAAGTACCCAAAGGCAGGACAAGAAACAATGGTTGGAAACTGATAAAAGAGAGAAGCAACCTGGAATTAAGGAGAAACTTCCTAACAGTGAGGACAATTAAAAAGTGGAACAGCTTGCCTTAAAGAATTTTGGGTGCTCCATCACTGGAGATTTTTAAGAAAAGCCCAGATAGTCCCTTGTCTGAAATGATATAGGTTCAACTGCTTGGGCAGAGGGCTGGACTAGAAGACCTCCAAAGTCTATCCTATCCTATCCTATCCTATCCTATCCTATCCTATCCTATCCTATCCTATCCTATTCTAAATTTTCCCTAATATATATATTCCAATTTCATTCATTGCTATGTATAGTGTGTGTGTGTGTGTGTGTGTGTGTGTGTATAAACACACACACACACACTGTACATAGCTAGCAATGAATGGAATTGGAATATGTCAAGTTCAAATGAACCATACACAAAGATTTTCCCCTTCTTTCCAAGTAGAATACAAACAAGTTTTAAAAAAACCAAGATTATAACCAATGGAAAGATTGCTGATTATTTAATGTAGTTATTATTTTCTAATTTTAGCACAATCAATGTGCTTTCCAATTATGTAACTTACAACTGGTATAAAGAAAGACCAGTTGCCCATTTTAAACATGTTACATGGTTGGAAACACTGATCTTTGAATATACAGTAGCAATGAATGTGTACAATCCAAAATGCTGGGAGAAAGATGATCTCGATGGAGGTAGCACCAAACCTACGATCTATTGCTAAATTTGATTTCTCAAAGCTCAAGATGTAAAGAGTAATAAGACACTATTATATTTGCATTCAAAACCATTATATTCTACACAGTTGGTACATGAATCCAGTCAATGCATCTATAAAGCTCATGGGAGTATGAGATAGAAGTAGAATGCTGTAATCTAGAGCAGATTTTGTTCCTTTGAGCTGCTTTGTTTTTTAAAGAGAGAAACAGAGCCTGGGAAAGAGATAGACATTATAGTACTGAAGGGTTCAATTTGATACCAGGCCTTGTCAGAGAAAATTGACACTTTTTTCGTTATACTTTATGGACTTGGATGTGACATCCAGGACAAGTCACTAGATGGAAAATTGGAGAAAACCCCAAATTACTACCAATCACCTGAGAAAAAAATGGAAAGCATTTGAGGTAGAAGAGGATCAAAACACTTGAATCAGATTATTGGCACATTTATCTTCTCAGTAACATTATCTTATTTCAACTGTATATATCTCTTTATGCAGCTCTTTTACTGTGATACTACAGCTCAAGATTAAATCAAGGTCTTCTCGTACACTAACAATGTGCCCTGCCACTGATTAATGATCAACATAGATTGTCTTCAACAGAGGCTTTGTACCCACATTTGATGCTGGAGAGACGGCGTGGCACTCCCTGTGCCCTTTTGAGATGAAATCTCTCTTCATGTCTCTCTCCTTGGTCATAGAGTTGAACAAGAGGTTGTCTGAGTTGTAGCAGTGCTGTGTTACTCTTTTCCCATGCAAATTTCTTGATTGTATTAATATACTTGACATGAGGTGATAGTGGTTTATATTTTTCCACTGAAGGCTCATTTAGGATTTTGAAAAACTATAATGGAATCTTTTATAAAATGGCTGCCATTTCTTAAAAGGTACAGTAAGCAGGTGAACCAAGCTAAAATTAAAACCTGAACTTTAGAATGCAAAATCTTTTGTCTGAATGTAATTTACTGTTTCAGCACAGGCAGCCACAGTTCAAAGACAATAACCTACCCTAGAAATCAAACTCAAGGCAGGCATAATATCTGAGCCTATGTGTCAAACTACATATCTGGCCACATTAAACCCAGAATGCCAATTTTACAGAAAACCAATTTTGATACTTAGAATAAAGTATGTTTGACACATACTAAAAGAGTCACTCTTGAGCTTATTGATTCAAAAGTGGATTTTGCTCTGAAATGATTACATGATATCATTTTCATGATAGGACTCAAACCTGTTTAATCCTTAATTTTCAACATATTGCTTGTTCCTGTTGAACAAATAAATCTTTTTTCTCCATATCATTTTTCTAACACTCACTCTCCATGATGGCCCTTACTAGAACTATTTCTACTTATAACATGATGGTCCTTACTAGAATTGCAGTATTTCTAGTTATAGTAGACTTTTGTTTATGATGTGACCAGTAGTTTAATGATCGTTCAAAGTTATGGTGGTCTAGGAAAGGATGCTTTATGGCCCTTAAAGCACTTGTAGCCATCATAAAATGTCATGCCGCCCAACCCCTGGTCACATTACTGCATTTCTGGCAGACAACCAGTTCACATTTATGTCTGGTCGCAACATGTTCTAATTGTCACATGACTGCGATTTGAAATATTTTCTGCTGGTTTCAGACAGAAAATCCAGGAAAATGGGTTTACATGATTTGCTCAATGATTGCATAATTTGGACCTATGACTGTATGATTTGTTTAAGGCCTGATGTAAAAATGGTGGCAAAATCAGGTGCAGACATGTGGGTGCCTCAACTTACAATCATCATTACTTACAACCAAAATTCCAATGTGTAAGTCAAGGACTAAATGTACACCACAATGGTCTTTACTAGAACTACTGTATGTATCAAGGAGTTAACTCTTTTCTACTTCTATCAAGTCAAGGCTGGTAACTAGAGTTCATTGCCAATTTCAGAAATTTCTTCAAGGTGACTACAATCTTGCAAATCTCTATTCCTCTTTTCCTCTGCCAGCCTATTTCTTACACTCATTCTCGTTCCTTTCTTTTGTCCAAGCACAATGCTAAACCATTAGAACATTTTTTAATATGATCAATCAATTAAAAAGATAACTGAAGGAAACTAAATCCATTAAAGATCTCTCATTGTGTTAAGGAAAGGGTTACAGAAATGTCCTTCAGTAACCTCTCAGCTAACTGCACATAAAGAAAGCCTTATTTCAGAAAAAAGTTGTGCACGTAAACTCCTCCTGCTGTTGATTTCTCATTAGACCTTTTTTTACCCACATTCCCTTGCTCTCATTTTTTTTTTGAATTTCTAACTGCAGATTTGGGTATAAGAAAGAAAAAGCACAAGATTTACATCAAATCTCTTGCTGTTCTATAACTGTGGGTGGACTTGAGGGAAGCAAGTAGGATAAGCAATATCATTTGAAACCATTTTGTAGGCTTTTAGAAAATAGAATATAATTCTAATGCGTCTTTAAAATACCCAGTGTTTTTAAGGAGTGATTTTATCATATAAATTATACCTTAAGATAATACATACATAACACCTACATTATTTCCATCTTCTATTTATTTAAGAACAAAAGAAAGTACTGGGATGGTCTACAATGCAGCTCTTTTTTTAATTCACCCTTTTAAAATTTATAACAGTTAACCACCTTCAGGAAGGAGAAAAATATTTATCATCTCCAGATTAAAGAAATGCAGGAAAATGAAGCATCAAACTGGGCAGCAAAGGTCATCTGAGAAATGACAGGACAATGTTTCTCAATTCTTCATCAATTCCAAATATCTATTTTCATTTTTCAATAATGATTGATCACAAATATGTTTCTCTGTCTTTTCTGATTGGTGGTATCCCTATGAATGCACGTATGGTACAAGGTGTTTTTATATTCCTCCAGTCAAATGTAAATAGGCTGCTTGGTTTAAGGAATTTTTACTCTGAAATACTGAAATATGATCCATGTGACTTAGAGTTTAGACTTCATTCTTCTTAAGCTTGGCTTCTGATGGGAAGGAAACACAAAGTGAAGCTAGACCTATGCAAATTAAAAAAAAAAAAGATGTATTCAAGCAAAGTTCATCGCACCATAGCCAAAAATGTTCAGTATGGAAATACTTTTTACACTTAATACTATCTTTCAGAACTGAACTGAAATGCAAAACTGAGTAAAAGATCCATTGAAACAATGATATGTATTGGGTTGTAAATATCATTGCAACTTCAAATTAAGGACTGTGGACTATATTCCCAAAGGCTTTAATAATGGTAATGCTACTGACAAGTGGATAAAGAAACCTTGGCTACCTGCAGTTTGAGGACTTCTTCTATTGAATATTTCTACTTTTAAGCTCTTTGTATTCCTGTTCTATAAGATTTATATCCTTATATATCATTCCTGTTTGTTACAACAGTAGAAACAGAAGTGAATCTGGATAATGTCTAACATCATAGAGCAGCTCTTTAACTGGCAGACAGTACTAATCTTGAGATAAAGGGGGGAAAATCTACCCCAGCAATTTTGTTATAAAATTGCATGTTTAGCTCAGCTAAATTGCAGCACCCTGGTGCAAAAGTAACTTGAGTTAAAGAGCTCTAACTCTTAAGCAAGAATTTTAAATTCCCTAATCTTAAATTTGGAAAGAACAGGTGCATAGAATTCTGTGTAATGATTCATGTCGTAGAAATTGTTATAGTTCTTGAATAGATCAGTTGTTTATTTTGGGATATTCAAAGGTCTTCATAGACATACTGTAATCATCCTGGACATAGAGGGCTAGATTCATTTCTTCTATTACTGGAACCATTTTTAAACTGAATTCCTTTAAGATTTCTGTTTAAAAAGAGAAGTGAACATGTGCATATTTGGTAAGGAGCAAGAGATCAATTATGTAGTGATTGATTAAAAGCCCGATTGCAATTTAGTTTAAAATTTTATAAAGGTCAGGGAATGAACAATTTTTTTCTTTTGAAGAATCAAATATTTAAATAGATATTATATGAAGTTTAAGCATAACACTTTAAAAGTATTGTATACTGTACCTGTTGATTCTGACCCAAGCCCCTTTCAGTTTAAAATAACCTCTTCTCAGATTTGAGTGACGGAAAAGATGTGAATCAATAAAAAAAACTAGGATGGATGATCTCAGGGGCTTACCTCCTATCACAAGGAACTTTTTCAGCTTGATGCACTTCAACTCTTACATGTTCTCAGTTCAGGGCAAATCACCTCCTGATAAATATAAAGTGAAGTTTTCTTTATAAGAATATTTAATTCTAATGCATTCTGAATGTATTGTATTCCCAATTTCAATTTTCATCCTACTTTCCCACCATTTGTCAGGGGATTTGCAGTGGAATTCAATGGCATATACTGCCTTTTTGCACCTATAAAGCTATTGACCATAAGGTCCAGCAGATATAGAGAATGTTAACAGATGGACTCTGCATTTTATTTAGTTTCCTTGTCTAGGAAACTTATTTTACATTTTCCTTCGCAACATGTGTCCTATTGATTAGACAGATATTCTGTCAGTTCATTTTTCTTTCTCTTCAGACACTGACCTATGCAGTCCAGACTTGCACTCTCTCCATAAAAGGACAGAATGCATTATAGGCTCTTAGCTAGGCAGAATTACCATTTTCTATTACCATGTTTTCTCCTAAATAAAGCTTATCATTGTTTCCTTTCATATAAGCACCAATCTTCTTACAAAAGTTGCACTCCTAATTTTAGTGTGTCTCTCTCCATGCATTGTCAGCTGCATAAAACTTTTGATTATCCAAGAATTTAAAAACTTGAATAGCAACTAAAAATATCAATTTATTATACTTAGTGACTGGAATGATTCATGCAAAGGCAAATAGTTAAATGCTAAACCATTTGGGACTTTAACAGTTGAAGCAATACCCTGATCCCCGCCCCTCCAAAGCAATAGATAACTATTTCAGGTTTTTCTATTGTTACTAGAAGAACTCAACTATTGTATTTTATACCAGTTGACATCTCTGGACACCTTTCAAGATAGCCACATGTGCAGGATGCTTCAGTATTTTAACCATGATAAAACACATCAAATTGTTCCTACCTGATTTGAGGAAGATGCTGCTCAGAAGAAGAAGGGCCATATAATCCTACTAAATCCTGTGTAGCAGGATCTAGGCCAAGATCAGTTTCCTGTAACTAAGAATTTTCTACTCTGACTCTGATATAGCCTAAACAATATGCTTTCACATCAGGATATAAAGGATTATACAGTAAATATAGGTAGGCAGAGAGATGCTGAATGCTTTTTTGCAGGGGAGAGACACTACAGGGATGAGCTCTTTGGGAACAAACGTCTATTCAAGAAAAGCTCAATATTCCTAGATGGCCTTGCCGTCTAGATCAAAGAGTAATGGCTGGATAGCAGCAGCCTTTAGTAGAAAGCTTTCTGAGAGCAATGCTATTTTTATTATTTGTGAGGCCATGTGACCAATTATCCTTGAGCCTTGAATACTTGTCTGTCTGTCAGATTTTTCTAATGTTTGATAGCTAATGCTATACGTCTGGGTCACAACTTTGGATCTCGTCTTCATCCTTCTTCTTCTTCTTGTGCCATATATGTTATTGGACGTTGGCGATCATGTTGGCGATCCTGTTTTTATCAGCGCAAAAAAGTGCTGCTGAGTTTTGTCCAAACCAATCCCTTAGATTTTGAAGTCACGATGTTTTTCTTCCACTGGAACCTAAAGAAGGACCCAAACATTTATAGACATTGTAGGTCTATCTTATTGACTACACATTTATGTGTCATTTTGACCACAAGTAATCATTGTTTGAATGAAACCTCATACGTTAGGCTCCAGGGCAGAACACTCAGAATACATAGGTAAAGCAGGTTTACTTTCTCTATGTACAGTACATATATTTTTCTGTTATATCTTCTGTACTGTATACTTTTACTGCCCAGAATCGCTTTGAATAGTAAGATGGGGGAGGGGAACATATAAATAAATTAAATAAATATTTAATATATACAATTGAATGATATAATACAGAAGAGTATAATAATATCATACCATGCTAGTGTTTATTTCAATTTGAATAGACTTCTCTGGATACCTGGAAGTAATATATGAAATGCCAAATATTCTTCTAATGTAACAATGAAGCTGAATTGAGTAATAAATTAAGCATGGGATGGAACTGGGTCCTAGCCAAATTTCAGACAGAAAGAATAATTGAAGTGATATATTTTTCCCTCCTCCTTCTTCTCCCTTTTAAAAGTACCGTACTGATGCATCAGATTCATTTCGCTTCTCATTGTCTAGTAATGATTTGCAACTGCATCTACAGTATCCCTATTCAGAACTGGGTTTGAATTGACAACAGGAGATATGGAAGTTCCATGCTTCTCAGTTTATTTGTGGTGGCTCATTTATATGTGAAAAACACAACTCCAATAATCAAGATGCTTAAATAAATTAACTGACAATTTTTCATAGTTCAGAAAATTATGGGAAAATAAACAGAACTCGCTACTTGAAACTCCAAAATTAGCAATCCCAAAAGTACTTGTTAGAGTTGTATTTCTTAACATAGCACCTTCAAATTATGTTAGAATGGACTACAACATGGAATGATAGTCCAACTCATTTGGATGATGCTATCTAACTTATCAATGCATATGATAAAGCAAGCATTGCTAGTATAAAGTTAAATTTAAGGTTTAATTCTAAAAATAATCCTTCAAAAATCAGTCTACTTTTCTCCTGAAATTCTTATATTGCTACTGAAAAATATCTGGAAATTGGTAAATGCACTTATATTTTTTGCAGAAGAAACTAGAAGCTTTTTGTGATCCCCATAAACTGTCTATATCTTGTGTTTTGAACTGAAATCAGACTAGTTACTGTAAAGTAGAAATAATGACTATATTTATGACTCCCTAACCTAACCTTGTTTAAAAAGATATGAAGCCCTTTTCTTAGTGTACATGTGAATAATGAGAAGAATAGAATCAGAATTCTAAGTATGATGAAAAACTGCTGAATTTTATGTGGAGGTTACTCTGTTTACCATTTTGAGTAGGCCGTATCCAAGTGTAATGCTGGCTTATTGGCTTGATTTCCTCCATCCTACATTTGCCAGAAGAGGTGACAGGGAAAAATAAAGTATTGTTAACATGCATTGGGTTTTGTGATTGAATTAGTTGATTACTTTTGTGGAAATGTGGAAAAAATATCTTATAAATTTGAATCCTTTTTATTTTTATCAAGCTAAAAAAATACATCCCTTTTTCTCAAAAAAAAAAGCCCAAGTCATACTTGCTCCAGAAAGTCTGGTGAAACAATTTCTGAAGGGTCTAAGATTCAGAACAGTTTAATTTGCTGTGCCTTTCAAAAGAGTTATTTTGTTTTGAAGTGGTGTTTATTTCAGAATAATTACATAGTGACTGTCCCACTCACACTGTATCATTTAAGAGTAGTGCAGGCTTCTTATATTACTTTCTCCATTTCACTTAAGTTTCTGTACAAACCTCTTTATAGCTATGACTTTGATGATTGGCTCTTTCCTGAAGAAAAAGTACTGGGAGAAATGTGAAAGTGTTTAGGATAACCACATTTCTAGTTCTTTTGAAAGAATGGGAGAATAAGTTCAGTTGTCTTCTGGTAGCTTTTCTTTTATCCGAACCCCAAAGGATTTAAACCCAGTTTTAGGTACTATACTTGATGTGCTCTTTTGGAGGTAGTTCATGCTGATTGGGGCTTCAAGGGGTTGCCATTCAAAATCACCAGACTGTTCACTCTATATTATGAGAACTGGAGATGAATGGGGCAATGGAAAAATAATAAGGATTATGAAATTTCCTAAATTCAGCTAAGCTGATGACAACATATTCTAAGTACAATATAACACAATATATCCTAAGCTGTGTGGCCATATCCTCTCATTTGGGGAAACATTACTCATCTGTTAGCCATAAGTCATGTCAATTCTACCGGAGAATTGCTTAACAGAAGTAAACTGACAGCAATTTATAAACCTGAAATTTAGACATGCATACTAGACTATCCTTTTTATCATCTGTCATTTGGTATTTAGGGAATGCAAATTATTTTGCATAGGCATGGGGGAGGGGCAGAGCAATTCTCAGAGTTGAAAAGTGATGACTTCAAACTGTTCTGACACTAATTTGGTGTATTTTCATTCTGTAAGTCACCTAAAGATGTCTGAAGTAATCCATTGGTGATTAAATACTACAGATAATGATCAAGAGAAATCAACCACCCATGACCTTGTGGAATGGAAAAGTGTTTACATTTTATGCAGTCTGGTATAAAGTCATTTGCCTGATATCAGAACTGTTTCAAATTAGATCCTAAATGATGATATACAGAAGGCAATAATCTTTTGATAGAGAGCACTATCTATCAGTTAGATAGCTAGTTTCCTAAGTGGCATGATTAGCACAACTATAAATACTGGGATCTAACCCAACCAATATTTTTGATCCAGCATTTGGTGCAAAGCTGCCTTGATAGAACAGGAAAAGATACTTAGTCTACTCTAAATTTCATATTTGAAAGAAAACATGACTTGCTTTCACAGAAGCCTATACAAGATGAGGAGAAGGATAAGAGATGCTATATATGGACTGGATGTTTCTGCCTAATCATGCCCAAGAGTTCTTCAGATGGAAGTGGAGGGAAAGTCCTCGGTCATAGATGCTTTAGTGGATCATGCATAGAACAGGTGATTAGAATAGATAACCCTAAACTATGATCCAGCTTTGTGATTCTATGAAGATCCTTGGAATAAATTGTGCAAAAGAGATGTATCTTTATGTACTTCTCAAGCTTTTGCATAATATATATATAGCCATCTGTTATGTTGTCTAGAAAAGGCTACAAATTGAGAAATGGGAAGCAAAAAAACCACATAACTCTGAAAAGTTGTAATTTACTCTTGCTATTACTTTTTAATATCACAGTTCAGTTGTTCCCGTAATTGTAATTAAAATAGAGCTGGAGGAGAGCAGGCTGGAGAGTTGGGGAGAAAGCCCACACTTGAAGCTAATTGGGAAATGTGATTTATGACTGTTTATTGGGGGTGGGAATTGTACTTTGTTACTTTGTATCCAGGGGAGGGGAATTTAGTTTTTGGGTTCAACTATGTAGTGCCGATACTTTGTATGCTGATATCCTTTCTGCCTCATGGCAAAAAGAAAATAAAAGTACTCTAAAATATTACAATACACATTCAAAACAAAATACAAGGCACTAAAAAGCATTGCAAGCATTAAATGTGTTTGCAGTTACAAACTTCCCACCAAAATGTACGCAATTTCTCCAGATGTTTAAGTCTATAAAAATATTTTGGTATTCTAAAAAGAAAACCACATTTTTAATCTAATATTTGCAGAAACAATTTGAAGTGTGAAATGTCAGGTGGGGCTGGATGAAGCATATCCTGTTTTTTTCCACTTTCTCTTAAAATACTTCTCACAAATAACTAGCACAGCTAGATTGCCACTACCTGACATCTTGGAATGCAAGCACCGAGTGTGGGCTAGACCAGATAGTTTCTTGGACCTGGGTAAAATAAGTTTGAAAGTCTGTTTAGTTCAAATTATTGCCTAATCTTTTCTCCCAGACATATTCCTAAGAGGTTTTCCAGCAATCTTTAGAGAAAGCATGGGATGCAAGTGTGCTAAACAAATGACAGTGTTTTATCCTCCCTTTATTGTTTGAAAGACAGGAATACATGCAGAAGTAGGCTTGTATTTGTTCCAATGATGGAAAGATAAACTCCTCCTTCTTAGTAGATGAAGGGCTTCTGCTCAGAAAATGACAATCACTAGATAGGATGTTTCCCTCACTTCATGTTTGGTAAATAGAAAAATGACAGGTGGTGGGTGGGATTCTTGCTAGTTGTTCTTCTGTCACAAATGAAGGGGGAGGTGGAGCAGCAGCAGCAGCTGAAATAAAGGACAGTCCCTAGAGCCTCAACTCTGTAGTGACAGCACACTCTTTTTCCTCTCTGCATGTGACTGCCTCTTGGTGGGGGTAATGGCATCACTCGCTGCTGTTCTGCTGGATGGGAGACAACTGGAAGGAATTAGCTGACAGGTTTAAGCTCCTGCTTACATGAAAATTGTAACCCAGCTCAGAAGCAGCCTCAAAGCAGGAGGTTTCAGAATTTTCTCTGGTTCTCTCTGCTAGTAGAGCTGTTGTTACCTTTCACTAATACAAGAGCATCAACTGTGGAAGAACCATTAGCAGCCAGGATGAAGGCAGCTTTGAAGGTACTGACTGAATCAAAGGGAACTTGGAGGATGTAACATTCTCTCTCTGGATCAACCCTTTTCAACTTGGTAGCCTGTCATCCTCAGCAAATGTGCCATGCGGGTTTGGGAAGATGGAAATTGTAGTTCCCCTCCCCTTTGGAAAGCACCTGGCTGGGAAAGACGCAATTACTGAAAAACCAAAGCTAAGTTGGGAGTTTTCTAAAAACAGAAAGGCTTCATAGGTAGCCTAGCAAAGAGCTAGGGCATACAGGGCAGGGCATAGGAGTTAGGGGAGTTTAAACAAAGTTAGGATTGGAAGAAAGGGTTGCCAACTTGCTTTTCCAAATCAGGCTTCTGTATCTTTCCTAGCTATGAAATAAGCAGAAGTACCCAGGTGACTCTTTCTCTCCAGCCAGAGTTGGACTAAACTTCACCTACTGCTCAGCTGTTCAGCGCACAAGAGTCTCACCAAGATACAGGCCAGGGCAACCGGCCCTGACCCCCAGTTAGGCCAAGGTCGCGTCCAGGAGCGCTGGTCGGGAACAAAGCAGGTCGACGCTTCCTTAAGGCACCGGAGCAAATTTGGAAGTCAACTCAGCGCCCAGCGGAGCGCAGCCGGAGCGGGGAGGGGGGCAAGAGGGGTGAGGCCAAGGGAAAAAAAGAGGGACTTGTTTGGGCTACCTGAAGGGGAGGTCCGCCTTCTTTGGATTTGGGTCACTGCCCCGCCACTTGGGCGCCTCAGAGCTGCTGTTGCTACTCAAGGCCGCCGGGTGGTGACTCCGGCGCCTACGCTTGCTTTCCCGCCCTTCCTCTTACTCTCGCAAAACGCGCTTGACCGCCCAGTGGCCGCCGCTACCGCCTCCTCCTCTTCCTCCAGTGAGTGCTGGGAGACGCGGCGGCTGGAGGCTACCCCCTCGAGGCTCGCCTTCCTCTCCAAGGGTAGCTGAGTTCCGCTCGGCGTCCTTTGCCGTCGCCTCTTCGTTGCCAGCCGAGTGGCATCAGGAAGTTTGCAAAAGCCCCACTTTATCTGGCAAACTCCACCTTACTAAGCCGCTCTCTCTCTCTCTCTCTCTCTCTGCCACATCTTTCTTGCTGCGGGAAGTTGTCGATGAGTGCTCCGCCGGTCATCCGGCCGCCCAGTCCTTCGCAGCCCGGCGGCGGCGGCGGCGGCGGCGGCATCTCTTTCCACCTTCAGATCGGCCTCAGCCGGGAGCCGGTGCTCTTGCTGCAAGACTCCTCGGGGGAGTTCAGCCTGACCCATGTCCGGGAAATGGCTTGTTCCATCGTCGATCAAAAGGTAAGGCGCCTCCGTCTCCGGCTTGATTTTTGGGAGCGGGCGACGTCAGACTCTCCGATTGTACCGTAGAGAGAGCATCTGGCCTTCCCAGCTAGGTAACTACCGCCGCCTCTTCTGCCATCCCGGCTGCCGCGGCCCCCGCTTCCTCGCCTCGTTTGGGAAAAGTCTGCCAAGAGAGCTGGGCGGGGGGTGGTGGTGAAGGCACCGCTTCAGGAAAGTTTAAATCCCGGCCCGGGATTCATTTTAGTTAATAAAAGCGAATTCCTTTTGACTGCAACGTCCTCGGACTAGAATATAATGTAGTGAAGTTGTGGTGCGTCTTTTCTTTGTTCCTTCCAACCGAATTCCCTGCTTTCCTCGCGTTATACTTTCCTTAGTGGCTAGTTGTATTTATTTGTTGCCTCTCGGCAGAGTTTGATTGCCACGCGCGGAAAAAAAACTTTACTTCTTCCTTCTCTCTCTCTCTCGCTCCCTCCCTCCCTCCCTCCCTCCCCCGTCCGTCTCCACCCGCGGGGCTTTCTCCTGTGTCCAAGAATGAGTTTAGTAGGAGGGGTTGGAAAGAAACCGAGAGATAGGGGCGCACTGGCAGCTGTCAAAATAATCCCTCGACCCTGCATTATGCCCGCTGGGGAAATAAAAGTTTCCACTTTGCAAGCCAGAAAGCAAAACAAGCCGGCACGCTTGGCAGCCTGTGCTCAGGCGAGTAATCCGATGCCTGCAAGCCGGTAGGATCTGGGACATGTGGAATGCCGGCTCTGACCTTACAGATGGAATCCGACTGCCAGCGCAGGAAAGAAGACTTCTGGGCTGAAATGTGAGGATTTCCATAAATCCGATTTTTTTTTTTTAAATATGTGATTTCCCAAAAGTATGCAGAGGATACAAAAGTGGCATTTTGCAATGCAACCCTAACAGCTAAACTCTGCTGAGTCAAATCCTGGATTAATTGTTCAAATTTCCCCAAAGTAGTAATCTTTGGATATGTCAGGAACTCTTAGAACATTGGGACATCTCCTGCAACAGAAGTAAACAAATTTGGGGAGCACCACCTGTGAATAAAAGTATAGCCCTGAGCCCTATGCCTATTTCACTGAAAAGATATACAGTACTGTATTTTTATGGATAAATGTGCATTTTGCAGCAGCCTTGTTTGCTCATCTATGGAACTGTCAACAACTATACCAAATTTTAAAAGTTATTTTGACTCCTTTTCTCACAGTTTCCCTATCATTTCCTTTAGCCCCATTCCTTCACTTTGAGAGTGGTATTACATTTCCCCCTTCTTTGCTACATCAATACATGCATTGATTTGGTGAACATGGGAATGAATGAATGCACGTGGCTAAGGAAAATAGGGTAATTCAAACCCCAGATTTGCTGACAGGATGTTATTTGTGCCATTTTCACCCAAGAGCACTATCTACCCCATGTGGTTCCCAGGAGTTTCCATCTTAGTTTGGAAGGTGGTAAAATTGCAGGGGCTATTATTTGGGGACATATTGCACCTTCCTCTTTGAAAGTGGTAATGTTCAGTTCCGAACATCTGGTGATTTCACAGAAAGCCTTTTAAGATATGAAGAAGTACTTTGTACTACTTTATAGACGAACTGGCTTGTTATGGAATGGGCTTTTCAAGAAACAGCCAATTTTCACAGATGCATAAAATGGATTTAGAAAGTAGTCCCTGATGACAGTTGATTAGATTTCTATTTATCCATATACCATTTGTTTCCCACAAGATTCAACTTCCTGTTTACTGAATGTTTTTTTTTTGCTCTCTCTCTTTTGTTTGTTTGTGTGTGAGAAGATAATAATGTCGTATTAATGAGAAATTAAGGCTTAAGGTATAAAGATGGTGTCCGTAAGGAAATCTTTTAATACTTCTTATGGGAGTGTAAAGTGATTTGCAAAGAAATAAACAAAAATCTTTTGTAATCGAGTACCCTAATCTACTTTCCTAATCAAGGAACCTTGGGTTTGCAGCTGAGGGTCAGAAAAGGTTTGCCTAATACTTTCTTACATATGTCTGTTCTACCTGTTTAAGAAGGAATGTTGACAAAATCAGAAGGCAGGTGTAGCCTGTGAAATGTCAATACCGTAGAAGACAATATATGCAGCTCAGGGTTGAACTATGGAGGCCTTGGTGCTCCCTGAGCTTGGTTGTTTACTTGCAGACGTTTCATTACCTGACTAGGTAACATCATCAGCACTGAATGATGTTACCTAGTTACGTAATGAAATGTCTGCAAGCAAGCAGCCAAGCTCAGAGAACACCAAAGCCTCCATAGAGTCCTTTATTCTTAGTTACTCTTTTTACTGACATCTTAACGTATTGTTGTTTTTGTATTATCAATGTGGTTTTGCATTGATTATGCATTAAGCTGCAATATACCCAATTTTTATTTGCTTTATTAGAGACTGAATAGACTGTGGAAGTTCATGAGAGTGATGATCTGCAATTCTGTGATGCCTTGTAGCTTTTTGACACCATCAAGCAACCTTCATGGTTGAGTGACTATTCAAACAGGGGTTTTCCACATTAAAACTCAACACACTGACTAATCACTGCACCATACTAAGTAGTTGGGGATGAGAATTGTATTGTTGCTGCTGGTGTTGTTTTATGGTGATTATAGTTTGCATAGATCTAATCCTTTTGTTTGTTTGTTTATGAACAAAGATGGATAATTTAAAAAGGTTTATTACAGCAAACAAATACATTCTTTCCCAGAAAACAATAAAACTGATATAGTATTGCATGATTCAGGTGGGATATAGTGAGGAAAGAGTGATGTTCACTGCTAGTAATTTTGTTTTTATTTAATTTTCCTAGTGGTAAAATGTTGTGATTTGAAGCATTGGTAACATACAAAATTGCAGTATCAGAAAGGTGTTAATAGTTGGAAACAAGAAAAAGTTGGTAGTTAAACTATAACGTGAAAATCTGTAAGGTACCAAAGTACTTTGTATTAGAACAGTGGTTCTCAACCTTTCTAATGCCGCGACCCCATAATACAGTTCCCCATGTTGTGGTGACCCCCGACCACTTATACATCACTGGGTGCCAGGGGCGTGGCCAAAGAAAAGGGGGAAAAATGGCGGACAGCCTTGTTTGGCGACCCCCGTGAAATGGTCATTCGACCCCAAATGGGGTCCTGACCCACAGGTTGAGAACCACTGTATTAGAAAATAATGAAGAGTGCACAAAAGCTATTAGAAATCGATTACATGCCCTAAAAATATCAAATCTTGTGAGCATAAGGACAGAAGTCTCAAACTGTTGCAGCCAAGAACTTGATAATAGGAGCCACAAATACTTTTGGATTTTACCTTTTATACTGGGGACTTCCTTAACTATATTACAGATATTTTTAACTCCTTGTTAAAAGAAATACCGTAGCAGAGGCTAAGACTTCTTAGGCACTGAAGGAAAAATGACAGGTGTATGTACAGTATCTGAAATAACAAAGTCTTATTTTCTAACACCTGTATTGTGCTCAGTGAACTTTTAGGTCCTTAAGGAAAGGTTTATGTTTGGTAACAAACTGAATTTGGTGCAAATGATTGGGATAAGTATGTCAGGGCTTTTTGTTCAGGACAAAAATATGATGTCAGAGTGGATAGGAACCTTTTAAAAGCATTGGTGCTGAATTTCAGCTGGGGGAATTTCCAGGTGACCTTTTTACATAATAAACTTTGAAAGGAGAACCTGATCACTGATCTATGGTTGCAAAGAGTTAGTGCTTTTTGTAAAAAAAAAAAAAAATCCATCAAAGAGATGCAGAAACCACTAACTCTTTGCAACCATCCAGTGATGGTTTAGATTTTTGCAGCCCAAATCTTTGAGATGAAAATATATGCTTCTCTCATATTCTTTCCATATTATTGACTCATTATTGATGGGGAAAGTTTGCAATAAAATCAGAATCAGAGCCAGTTAAATGCATCTTAGACTGTAGATAAAGTGATGGGATCAATTGTCCTTCAACCTTTTAAAAAATAAACAAGCATGCTTTATTTTTTTCATTGCCGCTTGTGTAGTAATAGAAGGAAAGTGACATAGGGTAGGAAGTATTAGGTTCTTAGTCTAAACAAGAAAAAATATGTCACCCCAGCCTAGGTGCAATCGTTTCCTTTTATATATTGGTGGTCCATTAAGGTGATTATATTTTCTGGGGGAGAAGATATCAGGGATTTTTGTCTTGTGGGAATAGAGTAATGACTGCAGGATTATGGGCCTTGTGCAAATCTGGATCCTTTCTATCAATGACATCTTGATGAGCGTTGGAGCTATGCCTTCTCAGTTACAGTGGCTCCCCTGTGGAACAGCAGCCCTCTGGAGATTCAGATGGCCCCAGCCCTGTTAGCTTTTCACGAAGCATGTTGTGGCTGTTTCCTCAGGCATTAGGGCTAGGATGTAGATGAACTCTGTTGTGGCTGATGTGTTTTTTGGTGAGTGGTGTTATTGTTTATCCTTGGTTGCCAGGTACTATATGTTGCGATTTTTCTATGTTCAATCTTTGTAAGTCACCCAGAGTCACTTGTGTGAGATGGGCAGCTTTATAAATTATATAAAATAAATACACTTGTATAGATTATTTAGATAAAACTTTTTGGGTTCTCAATGGGCTTAGAGCAATTTTGATTAAATCTAATACTTCAATTTTGTTTAGAATATTATAGGAAGAAAATGTGGATTCCATAGCACTGTTATAACATGTTTCCAAGGATAGCATTTTGAATTTTATCTTTCCTCTATTTTAATTTATTTATATCTATTATTACATAGGTTTTATGCCTTGCAAGACTGTAAGAAGCCTGCTCATTAAACCTGTGTCTATCCACAATATTTGGTGGAGCTGTTTCCATTATATTTGCTTGCATTTATATTTTAAAACCACATTATAGACAGTGGTTACAAACTTAACCTTTTCTGACAGCTTTAAAAAATAAAATATAACAGAATATAATCAAAAGCATTAGGACTGAAATTTTAAAAC